TCTGCTAGTTCATTCCTCTTTCTTTCTTCTAATTTTGTCAGCCTGGTCCCGAACTGCTCCTAGAGGTTCTTCCAGAAGTTGCTAGTAAACTTCGTGTCCCTGTCGCTGATAATTGCTGCTGGTATCCCGTGCAGGCGAACAACGGCTGCGATGAACAGGCGAGCGGTCTCCTCGGCTGAGATCGACTTTTTGCACGCAGCGAAGTGTGCCATCTTCGTCAGCCTATCCACGACGACCATCACCGCGTCGTTACCCCCAGGGTTCGAAGGTAACCCTGTGACGAAGTCCATGGTTACTTGCTGCCAGGCGCGTTCGGGCGGTGGGATCGGCTGCAATTGACCCGCCTTCCGCTTCCTTGAACTCTTTATCACCTGACACGTAGGGCACGAGCCCACGTGCTGCTGTACGTCGGTCAACAGCTCCGGCCAGTAATAGTACCGCTGCAGTTGTTGTCGTGTTTTTTCTACCCCGAAATGTCCCGAGGTAATCCCGTCGTGTGCCTCCTGCAGCAGCAGCTCCCTCAGTAGTGAGTACGCGGGTACCCAAATGCGGTTGGTGCCTGTTTTTACGTAATAGACTCCTTTTGCTTCTGCCAGTTGCTGTGAATTTCCGGTCGTGAAGAATGGGTCGGTGCGGTATCCGTGGGTGAATAGGCCAGTTAAAAGCGGGTTGGTCTGGGCGAGTAGGATGGCGTGGAGTTGGGCGGTGGGGCGGGTGAGAGCGTCGGCGATGTTGGATGCGCCTTTTTTGTACGTAACGGTGTAGTGAAAATTGGACTCGAGATAGTCCAACCAGCGAATCTGTCGTGGGTTGAGATTCGGTTGGGCGCGAAGGTACTGTAGCGAGCGGTGGTCTGTCCGTACTGTCACGTCGGCGCCAGTCAGGTAACATCGCCAAACTTTGAACGCGTGCACGATCGCTAGCATCTCGCGGTCGTGTATCGGGTAGTTACGTTCGGGCGGGTGTAGTTTGCGGGACTCGTACGCGATTGGCTGGAGGCCGTTCCCGAAGTCCTGCAACAGTACTGCTCCCACAGCGATGTCACTTGCGTCGGTGACGAGCTCGAACGGACGGTGGGGATCTGCAATGTGAAGGACGGGCGGGGAGCACAAAATATTTTTGAGGGCCGAGAAGGCAGCTTGCTCTTTCTCCCCCCACGTGTACTCAACCCCCTTCCTCAGCAGGTCGGTCAACGGGGCAGTCAGCTTCGCCATGTCGGGGACGAACCGGCGCACGTAGTTGACGAACCCCAGGAAACTCTGCAACTCGGTCAAGTTGGTCGGCGCGTGCCAAGCCTGAATCGTCGCAATTTTCTTCGGGTCTATTTCCACTCCTGCAGCTGAAATAACATGTCCCAAAAACTCCAGGCGGTCATGTAAAAACTCACACTTAGATGCTTTGGTCAGTAGGCGATTCTTACTCAGGATTTTAAAAACTGCTTCGATGTCTTGTAAGTGCTGTGCTCTGTCAGGGCTGTAAATCAGTATGTCGTCCAGATAAACGATGACGCACTTATCTAAAAGTGGGCGGAATGCTTCGTTCATGGTCATTTGGAAAGTGGCGGGGGCGTTGGTCAATCCGAATGGCATGACGGTGTATTCGAAAGATCCGTAGCGTGTTCGGAATGCGGTTTTAGGGCAGTCGGGTGGATTAACGCGGATTTGGTGGTAGCCTCCCCGGAGGTCAATTTTCGAGAAAACCCGGGCTGTGCGCAGTTGGTCGATCAGTTCGTCGGCTCGTGGGATGGGGTAACGGGATTTGATGGTAACCCTGTTCAGTGCCCTGTAGTCGATACACATGCGAAAACCCCCGTCCTTTTTCGGTGTGAACAGTATGGGTGCGGCGAAGGGCGACGAACTAGGGCGAATGAATTCCTTCTCGAGCAGGTAATCGAGCTGCTTCCTCAGTTCGTCTAGTTCGGGTTGGGTCAGTCGGAACTGTCGCTGTACTGTTGGCTGTGCCCCCGGTTCCAGTTCTATCCTGTGATCGTGCGGTCGCCGAGGTGGCAGTCCCGTCGGTAAGTCATCCGGGAAAATGTCACTGTATCGTGTTAACAGTGCTGCCAGATCACTCGGTACGTCGGTCAGCAGTTTCTGTAAATCCCCTCCCTTGTCTGCTGCCTCGGCTTCCCGAATGTCAACCGCGTACACGTCAGCTCCGGCCGCTACAGCGCGTTTCATCGTGATCGCATTGACACGCACCGACGAAGACCCAGGCGAGCCCCAGCGAGGTAAGGCGATGTTGTTACCGTTCACTCGCACGGTGCAGTCACCCGTCGTCCAGTCAATTCGCGGATTGTGTCGTCGCAGCCAATCACGCCCGAGTAAAATGTCGGTTCCGTCGAGGGTCGTTGCGAGCATTTCCTGGCTAAACGTGAAGTTACCCCCGCATCGAATCCGAACTCGGTTTACGCGTTCCCGTATTGCCAGCGGCGTGCCGTCTACCAGTCGTGCGTCGATCTCAGGTAAGCATCTGTCCAGTGGCAGTCGCAGTTTCCGTGCTGTAGCAGTGTTAATGAGGCTGTGGCTGGCTCCCCCGTCTACGAAGATTTTAACTAAGTCCGTCCCAATTTTCCCACTGAGCAGTATAGGGCTGTCTACCGTGGTACCCTCCTTATTCGGCCGGGTGTGGTCGATTGCGTGAACCGGCACAATCACTCGGTGAGGGTCGGTTGGGTCGGGCGAGCGGCGTGACCTGTCAGTAGAGGGCCCGTCTGCTACTGACTTCCAGCGTTTCCCTGCTGCTTGGTCTGTGTCTGCTGCTCAGCTTCCCCCTTTCCCTTAGCGTTTTCCGGGCATTCGCTCTTGCGGTGTCCCGGCCGATTGCACGCAAAGCAGCGCCCTTTGAACGGTGCGGCAGCGGCATTTACGGCGACGGCGCGTATCGTGGTGCTTTCGTTCGTCCCACGAGGCCGATGTCCCCAGTTGTTGTTCCCGTAGGACCCCGGTCTCGGTCGGCGAAAGAAGTCGAGCTTCTCCGCCATAGCGAGAATTTCCTGAAATTCGGTGACGCCGCGAAGCTGGATTTCCTGAGAGATGTCCTGCTTCAGGCCGCCGATGTAGCGGTCGATGCGCTCGCTCTCATGCATGTAGCCCACCTGTTCGCATAGCGCCAGAAATCCGCTCGTGTAGTCCTGGACGGAACCGAGTTGGTGCCAAGTGCGGAGCTTCTGTCGCGCCGAGATCGAGGCCGCGATCGGCTCAAATCGAGCGCGCAGACCTGCGCACCACGCGTCCCACGTGCGATACTGGGGCACCTCCACGAAATACGACGGCGCCCAGGGTCCGGTTTGTCCTTCCCGTGTCGGTAGTGTCGCGTAGTCGGTCGGCTTCGTGATGATGACGCGCCACCAGTCCATGGCGGGTCCTCGCAGCAACGACACGGCGTATCGAATCTTCGCCGAGTCCTCCGAGACGTAGTTGGCGTCGAAGAAGACATTCATTGTGAACAACCACGCCTGAACGGTAGGACCACCCCGTTGACTCGGGTCAAAGCATGGCGGGCGCTGCAGCTTCAGCGGCATCGGTGACGGCAGTCCCGAATCGTGGGTTGGTGCCGAAATCGTGACGCGAGGCTGACTTGGGGCCGCATGCGTCGCTATGGGGTGTGTCGTGCCGTGGTCGTCGTCTCCGTCGGGGCGGACGACGCCATCACTGGCCGCGCTCGCGGGTTGCCCCACACTCCCGTGTTGTGATGTTGAGGGTGCAGGTTGAATCGGAGTGCCAGGTGCTTGAGATTGTGCTTGTTGTGCCCTCATGAGGTCATTTTGCAGCGATGAGCGTTCTGCTGTTAATGCCGCGATTTCCTCGGAGCTTTCGTGCAGCTGTCGCAGCAGATCGTTCAGACGCTCCTGCGTGAGGGTGGTGACGTCGATATTTTCAGCCATGACGAAGGGCGTCGGCTCGTCTTAGTCTAGGCGCAGTCGTGGCTGCACGCGTTTACGAGAGAACGCGAGGACAGCGGCTCCTAGGGGCTAAGGTGCGTGAGTCCCTTCGAGTGAAAAATCAAAAGTTGATTTCCTGGTGTGCGGAGATGCGCGGTCCGAAAGAAAGGGGCTCTGATAACCAAGTGTTACGGGTGCAAGGAATCGAGGTAGCGAGAATTGCACTAAGGTGTCAAACGAGTACAAAATGTGAGCGAAGGCATGAGCGAACATTTATACGCGAAACATGCAAAACGGTAACGCGGTGCGTGCGAGCTTGCTAGTGCTACGCTGGAGCGAGGCTCGGGCTAGTCCCGAAGCGTAGGCCGATACGGCCATGCCAGCAGTGCGAGGTTTGGCAAAACAGTGCGCGCGAAGTCGGCGAAGTTCCGTTAGCAGTAACGGGCGAACAATCGGCTGTTGCTGTACGCGATGTAGTCGGCTCCGTAAGGAATGCCGAGAAAATTCCTTACAGGCGGGAAGTCTGACACCACATTTCGAAAACTCTCTCTGGAAATGCTTCGGTTTGGCGAAAAGAAAATTCAGCGTTCATGAACGTATGTGACAGGTTACATGACTGAGGAAAATGCATGTGAAACATTACAGGAAGACAAAAAATGTCCGGCACGAGATAGCAAAAACACAAAGGTTTTGAGACAGAATTCAATACAGTTTTCTTAGTAACAACTTCTGAGCAGGTTTTTCCTCTGGGTGCACACACATTCTCGCAAAATATTCCACGTTGAATGGGTTCATCTGGGAATAATGGGGCGTTTCACCCTCTCACTTGTCAACATCCAAGCACTCATGCTGAAAGACAGACTTGTGCAGTGCTTTGGGCGCGGCAAGGCAACTTTCTATGGCCTTGAAGTTGGTCTCATCATCAGCAGGCATTCGATTCGGGCTCAAAAAGGCGTCCCAGCAAAGCTTACCAAAGCCTAGTTCACTTACGCCTGCGCGTAGCTCACACATTCGCAGGTTCATGGCTTCCACCGCGATCAACTACCCTAAGGCTCGTCGCGATGAATCTGTTGTCGACGATTATCACGGGACGAAGATTCACGATCCGTACCGTTGGATGGAAGACCCCGATAGCCAGGAAACTCGCGATTTCGTCACAGCGCAAAATGCACTAACGAATGAGATTCTATCGGGGATAAAGGGTAGGGAGAAGCTGAAGGAGCGACTGACGGATCTGTTGGATTCTCCTGAGTATGGTTGTCCGTTCAAGTACGGCAGCAACTACTTCTACTTTCACAATACTGGGCTCCAAGCACATAGTGTTCTCTACGTGCAGGTTCGTTATCAGCTATACGCCAGTAGTTATGAACGTCATATCGGCACGATACAACGTTTTCGTAAAAGTGCCAGTTTCGATCCTGCATTGTTGTCTTCATCATTTTCATTCTTCCGAGCAGAAATCGCTGGAAGACGAAGCCGAGGTTCTGCTGGATCCGAACACGTGGAGTGACGATGGGACTGTATCTCTTGGCACGTACTCTTTTAGCGAGGATGGCGAGTACCTGGCGTACGCTGTGAGCCAGAGCGGCAGCGATTGGAACGCCATTAAGGTGCTGCGCGTGGGGACTAAGGATAACGAGCCGGACGAGCTCAAGAACGTGAATTACACGTCTATTGCGTGGACGCACGACAACAGGGGCTTCTTCTACAACCGATACGACGGTAACGAGGGTTATGCTCACTTTCATCAATTCAGTGTAACGAGGGTTGATTCTGATCTCCCACGAGTTCTATTGCGCCGCTTCACTTGGAAGCGGCACACTTACGGCTGCGTAGAACCAGCCTTCCTCTCAACCTCACTATCTCTCTTCCCTGCCTTCAAATCTCGAGAACACTGAAAAATCCAACTCCCCATCTGATCCGCCGCTGGTGTCACCCTCTTTCGTTCATCCCCCGTGTCTTCCCCTCTCTGCCTTGACCCCGGCGACAGGAGTGGATGCGGAGGGGGCGGCAGCAGGGACGGCGAGGGTGGTGAATCAGCGGGTGTACTACCACGTGCTGGGGCAGGCGCAGGCTGACGATGCGCTGTGCTGGGAGAGCAAGGCCCATCCCACGTGGATGTTTGGTTCAGAAGTCAGCGACGACGGTCAGGCATGTGCTCTCCTTTTCTCTCTCACTCTCAGCCTCTTACTCTCCCTCTCCCTCACATGCCTTCAAGCCCTCTGTGCCTGTGATGTGTTGACTGATGTGTTGACTGATGTGTTGACCGATGTGTTGACTGATGTGTTGAGTGATGTGTTGACAGCTCAACCCAGGCTTCGTTTTGTCAGCCACTTCTTTCTTTTGTCGATTCTAGTTTGCTCATAGTGGTGAGGGGGCAAGGGGTTGCTTCTTGAACTGTGCGCGCTCCACTCGTTTAGCTTTCCTCTAAATACACACCAATTCCCTCCCTCCTCCACCTCTTTCCTCAAAACCCATCTGCTCCTGCATGCAGCTTCGCTCCTCCAGTGTTCTTTCCATCCATCCCCATATAGCTTCCCATTTTCCTCTCCACTACGTCTCGCCTGTCCTCCACCCTTCCCGTTCCCCACCTGACAGTACCTCATTATAAGCACGTGGGCGAACTGCGACCACGACAATCTTGTCCACGTCATCAACCTCCAGCAGCTGCCACGTGGACGCCTGGATGGCTCTCCAGTGCACGCTGCCTCTGCATCTGATGGGAACAATAGGAAGGATAAGGAAGATGAGAGCGTTGAGAAGGATGCAAGCAATGAGAATGAAGAGACTGTAGTCTTTAAAAGAGATGATAGGGATGATGAGGATGGTGGGGATGGTGGCAGTGGTGGGGATGGTGGGGATGGTGATGGTGGTTCTGTGCGCCTGCCTGCCATCGCCCTTAGACGCCTCTTTGACGGCATGTTCAGCTACGTGACAAATGACGGCCCGGCGTTCACCTTCCACACCAATAAGGACGCGCCACGTGGCAAGGTGGTGCGGATTATTCTGCCAGAGGGTACTGGGTCGGACGGTGGGCACGAGGAAGGGGAGGATGAATTGGGGGGTGCAGAGGGCAGGCAGAAGAGGAAGGAGGGGGAGAAGGGGGAGGAAGAGGATGGGAGGTGGGAGGAGGTGATAGGGGAGGCGGAGGGGGATGTGTTGGAGTGGATCCGGTGTGTGAACCAGGACATGCTGCTGCTCTGCTACATGCGCGACGTGAAAAACGTGCTAGAGGTATGCATCTACGCACTGGGACAATGTTTGAGGCATCTAGAAGCATCTTGACCAGGATATGTGGTTGCTGTGCTACATGCGCGATGTTAAGAACGTGCTCGAGGTATGTACTGGGACGGGATGGCAAGGCAATGGCAGTGGCGGTAGGGGAGGCGGAGGGGGATGTGTTGGAGTGGATCCGGTGTGTGAACCAGGACATGCTGCTGCTCTGCTACATGCGCGACGTCAAGAACGTGCTAGAGGTATGCAGTCGTGCTCGAGGTATGCAGTCGTGCTCGAGGTATGCAGTCGTGCTCCAGGTATGCAGTCGTGCTCCAGGTATGCAGTCGTGCTCCAGGTATGCAGTCGTGCTCCAGGTATGCAGTCGTGCTCGAGGTATGCAGTCATGCTCCAGGTATGCAGTCATGCTCGAGGTATGCAGTCGTGTTCCAGGTATGCAGTCATGCTCGAAGGTATGCAGTCGTGCTCCAGGTATGCAGTCGTGCTCCAGGTATGCAGTCGTGTTCCAGGTATGCAGTCGTGTTCCAGGTATGCAGTCATGCTCCAGGTATGCAGTCGTGCTCCAGGTATGCAGTCGTGTTCCAGGTATGCAGTCGTGCTCCAGGTATGCAGTCGTGCTCCAGGTATGCAGTCGTGTTCCAGGTATGCAGTCATGCTCCAGGTATGCAGTCGTGCTCCAGGTATGCAGTCGTGCTCCAGGTATGCAGTCATGCTCCAGGTATGCAGTCGTGCTCCAGGTATGCAGTCGTGTTCCAGGTATGCAGTCGTGCTCCAGGTATGCAGTCGTGCTCCAGGTATGCAGTCGTGTTCCAGGTATGCAGTCATGCTCCAGGTATGCAGTCGTGCTCCAGGTATGCAGTCGTGTTCCAGGTATGCAGTCGTGCTCCAGGTATGCAGTCGTGCTCCAGGTATGCAGTCGTGCTCCAGGTATGCAGTCGTGCTCCAGGTATGCAGTCGTGCTCCAGGTATGCAGTCGTGCTCCAGGTATGCAGTCGTGCTCCAGGTATGCAGTCGTGCTCCAGGTATGCAGTCCTGCTCCAGGTATGCAGTCGTGCTCCAGGTATGCAGTCGTGTTCCAGGTATGCAGTCGTGCTCCAGGTATGCAGTCGTGCTCCAGGTATGCAGTCGTGTTCCAGGTATGCAGTCGTGCTCCAGGTATGCAGTCATGCTCCAGGTATGCAGTCTTGCTCCAGGTATGCAGTCGTGCTCCAGGTATGCAGTCGTGCTCCAGGTATGCAGTCGTGTTCCAGGTATGCAGTCGTGCTCCAGGTATGCAGTCGTGCTCCAGGTATGCAGTCGTGCTCCAGGTATGCAGTCGTGCTCCAGGTATGCAGTCGTGCTCCAGGTATGCAGTCGTGCTCCAGGTATGCAGTCGTGCTCCAGGTATGCAGTCGTGCTCCAGGTATGCAGTCGTGCTCCAGGTATGCAGTCGTGTTCCAGGTATGCAGTCGTGCTCCAGGTATGCAGTCGTGCTCCAGGTATGCAGTCGTGCTCCAGGTATGCAGTCGTGCTCCAGGTATGCAGTCGTGCGCTGAGACAATCCTTGATGCGTCTAGAACATTAGCCACTGCATGCATGCATGCTGCTGCGGGGGGGCAACATGCGCCATGTGATAAACGTGCTCCAGGTATGTAGGCGTCTTTTTATGAGGGGCAAACGTAGGGACACAACACAAGAAGCTCCAGGTATACGTGCATCTCTCCATTCCAAATTTAAGGGTCCCTTTCCCCTCACCAAAAGCTCCCTCCTTGCCTTTGCTGCTCCCCATGAATGCACTCTCTTCCTTGTTGTCTGCCTGAATAATGTGTTTCTTGCCTCGTTCTCTTGAGGCGCCTCAAAAGAATAATGTGTTTCTTGCCTCGTTCTCTTGAGGCGCCTCAAAAGAATAATGTGTTACTTGCCTCGTTCTCTTGAGGCGCCTCAAAAGAATAATGTGTTTCTTGCCTCGTTCTCTTGAGGCGCCTCAAAAGAATAATGTGTTTCTTGCCTCGTTCTCTTGAGGCGCCTCAAAAGAATAATGTGTTACTTGCCTCGTTCTCTTGAGGCGCCTCAAAAGAATAATGTGTTTCTTGCCTCGTTCTCTTGAGGCGCCTTAAAAGAATAATGTGTTTCTTGCCTCGTTCTCTTGAGGCGCCTCAAAAGAATAATGTGTGTCTTGCCTCGTTCTCTCCCCATTCCAAATTCGCTCCCTCACTGGCAGCTCTCTGCTCTCCACAGTGCCCCTCCCCATGAGCGCTGTCTCCTCCTCCTCGGGTAGCAGGGGGATTTATAAGCCAGCTTCACCCTTTTCTCCCTGTCTCCCTCGCAGATCCGCTCCCTTACCGATGGCTTGCCGCTCTCCACAGTGCCGCTCCCGATGGGCGCTGTCTCCTCCTCCTCTCCAAGGTGCCCCTCCCCATGGGCCCCATCTCCTCCTCTCCGGTTAGCAGGAGGCGTTTTAAGCCAGTTTCACCCTTTCTCCCTGTCTCCCTCGCAGATCCGCTCCCTTACCGATGGCTTGCTGCTCTCCACAGTGCCGCTCCCGATGGGCGCTGTCTCCTCCTCCTCGGGTCGTCGCAGCGACAGCGAGGCTTTCTTTTCCTTCGAGAGCTTTCTCTCCCCCCGCACCATTTTCCGCTGCGACCTCACCACCCCTCAACCTGAACCCGAGGTGCGCGCGTGCTTGCCTTGGTTTCTGCTGCATGGAATGCATGGAATGGCACAGTGCTCTCGACCTCCTTTGAGAGCTTCCTCTCTCCCCACCCCATGCGCTGTGTACCGCTGCGACCTCACCACCCCTCACGCTGAACCAGATGTGCGTGCTTGTCTTGCCTTGATGCGTGTTGCGTGGAAAGAACTGTAAGCCTACCAACGTCTTGCTGATTCTTGAGTTGACTCAAAAGTCAACCTGCTGTCGCCTCACCAACCCTCAACCTGAACCAGAGGTGCGTGCTTGACTTGATGCGTGTTGCATGGAAAGACCTGCATGGAAAGACCTGTGAGGCTTCCACCATCTTGCTGAAAGCTTCCTCTCCCCCATCATTGTGTACCGCTGCAGCCTCACCAACCCTCAACCTGAACCAAAGGTGCGTGCTTGTACTGGTGTGTGATTGACGGAAAGAGGGTCAAGCTAAGCCACTTGATAAGATTGAGTTTTGAGACGTCTCAAAACTCAACTTATCTCCTTACTTACTTCCTCTTCCCCCCCGCACCGTGTACCGCTGCGACCTCACCACCCCTCAACCCGAACCCGGAGGTGTGTGCTGGCACCTGCACTTATCTGTTGTGCCTGGAAAGAGCTAAGGCTATAAGTCCACCAACAGCTTTAAGAGCTTCCTCCCCCCCCGCACTGTGTACCGCTGCGACCTCACCAGCCCTCACCCCGAACCAGAGGTGCGTGCTTGCACTTGCACTGATGTGTTGTGTCTAGAAAGAGCTAAGGCTGTAAGGCACTTTTGAGAATTCTCAAAAGTCCCATCAACGTAGCTAAGGCTGTAAGGCCGCCAACGGCTTTGAGAGCTTCCTCTGCCCCCACGCCGTGTACCGCTGTGACCTCACCACCCCTCACCCTGAACCAGAGGTGCGTGCTTGTACTGGTGTGTAATTTCTGGAACGACTTTTGAGGCGCCTCAAACGTCCACCCCTCACCCTGAGCCAGAGGTGCGTGCTTGCACTGGTGTGTAATTTCTGGAACGAGGCGATGCGCGCTTCTCCCTTGTGAGCTTCCGCTCCCCCGCCACCGTGTCCCGCTGCGACCTCACCGAACCATACCTGGCGGAACCTGATGTGTGTGCTTGCACTGGTATGTGATTGACGGGAAGAGGGCTAAGCTCTCCTTCCTTCTTCCGTTCCCCCGGCCACCGTGTCCCGGTGCGACCTCACCGAGCCTCACCCGGCGGAACCGGATGTGTGTGCTTGCACTGGTATGTGATTGACGGGAAGAGGGCTAAGCTCTCCTTCCTTCTTCCGTTCCCCCGGCCACCGTGTCCCGGTGCGACCTCACCGAGCCTCACCCGGCGGAACCGGATGTGTGTGCTTGCACTGGTATGTGATTGACGGGAAGAGGGCTAAGCTCTCCTTCCTTCTTCCGTTCCCCCGGCCACCGTGTCCCGGTGCGACCTCACCGAACCATACCTGGCGGAACCTGATGTGTGTGCTTGCACTGGTATGTGATTGACGGGAAGAGGGCTAAGCTCTCCTTCCTTCTTCCGTTCCCCCGGCCACCGTGTCCCGGTGCGACCTCACCGAGCCTCACCCGGCGGAACCGGATGTGTGTGCTTGCACTGGTATGTGATTGACGGGAAGAGGGCTAAGCTCTCCTTCCTTCTTCCGTTCCCCCGGCCACCGTGTCCCGGTGCGACCTCACCGAGCCTCACCCGGCGGAACCGGATGTGTGTGCTTGCACTGGTATGTGATTGACGGGAAGAGGGCTAAGCTCTCCTTCCTTCTTCCGTTCCCCCGGCCACCGTGTCCCGGTGCGACCTCACCGAGCCTCACCCGGCGGAACCGGATGTGTGTGCTTGCACTGGTATGTGATTGACGGGAAGAGGGCTAAGCTCTCCTTCCTTCTTCCGTTCCCCCGGCCACCGTGTCCCGGTGCGACCTCACCGAGCCTCACCCGGCGGAACCGGATGTGTGTGCTTGCACTGGTATGTGATTGACGGGAAGAGGGCTAAGCTCTCCTTCCTTCTTCCGTTCCCCCGGCCACCGTGTCCCGGTGCGACCTCACCGAGCCTCACCCGGCGGAACCGGATGTGTGTGCTTGCACTGGTATGTGATTGACGGGAAGAGGGCTAAGCTCTCCTTCCTTCTTCCGTTCCCCCGGCCACCGTGTCCCGGTGCGACCTCACCGAGCCTCACCCGGCGGAACCGGATGTGTGTGCTTGCACTGGTATGTGATTGACGGGAAGAGGGCTAAGCTCTCCTTCCTTCTTCCGTTCCCCCGGCCACCGTGTCCCGGTGCGACCTCACCGAGACTCACCCGGCGGAACCGGATGTGTGTGCTTGCACTGGTATGTGATTGACGGGAAGAGGGCTAAGCTCTCCTTCCTTCTTCCGTTCCCCCGGCCACCGTGTCCCGGTGCGACCTCACCGAGCCTCACCCGGATGATGTGCGAGGCATGCAAGCGTCTTCCGTCTCCCTTGCTCCATTGTGGTGCGCAATGCATGAAAAGGGGGCGAGGCTTCTGTCTGCGTTGATTCCTCGGCCGTCGCACCATGTTTTGAGATGAGACGTCCCACATCACCATGTGTGTACCGACTATTGAGGCGTCTCAAAAGTCGTCGCACCATGTTTTAAGATGAGACATCCCACATCACCATGTGTGTACCACCGCGACCTCGCTGCTCCTCTGCCCACCCAGCCAGCCAGCCAGCCAACCAGCCAGCCAGCCAGCCAGCCAGCCAGCCAGCCAGCCAGCCAGCCAGCCAGCCAGCCAGCCAGCCAGCCAGCCAGCCAGCCAGCCAGCCAGCCAGCCAGCCAGCCAGCCAGCCAGCCAGCCAGCCAGCCAGCCAGCCGCCAGCCATCCAGCCAGCCAGCCAGCCGCCAGCCATCCAGCCAGCCAGGCAGCCAGGGGTGTGTTCTGCATGTGCGATGAACTCAACTCACGCACAAGTTGTGCGTGCTCTCCTGGGTATTTGTGTGACATGGCATGTGTGTGTGACATGGCATGTGTGTGTGACATGGCATGTGTGTGTGACATGGCATGTGTGTGTGACATGGCATGTGCGTGTGACATGGCATGTGTGTGTGACATGGCATGTGTGTCGACTCCTACTAGCTGTGCTCGGATGCCTCACTCACGTTTTGAGACGTGTGCCATGGTAACGAGGTGACTTTTGAGTCGACTCAAAAGTCACCTCGGATGCCTCACTCACGGTTTGAGATGTCTCAAAGCTCCTACTAGCTGCGTTAGGATGCCTCACTCTCGCACATCCACGGCTGGCATTTGGCGGGTTGATCACCAGCTGAATGTTTGCCTGAGCGCACGCATGGTTCATGTATGTCTTGTGTCCGTGTACCTCTGCTGTCACCTCACCTCACCGGGGGCATCGCCAGTTTACTGGTTGCCTCAGCACATGCATGTATGTGTTGTGTTCGTGTACCTCTGTTTTGAGTCGACTCAAAACACGCCTCAGCACATGCATGTATGTGTTGTGTTCGTGTACCTCTGTTTTGAGTCGACTCAAAACACGCCTCAGGTAGGTGGCACATGCATGTACGTCTTGTGTTCGTGTACCTGTGTTGTCACCAGGTGCACCGGCAGCTGACCGTTCCAGGCTTCGACCCCTCTCTGTTTGAAGCGCAGCAAGTGTTTGTGCCCAGCACCGATGGCACCAGGTATGCTCTCGGTACGACTGCCTGCCAGGTAGGTATGCTCTCGGTACGACTGCCTGCCAGGTAGGTATGCTCTCGGTACGACTGCCTGCCAGGTAGGTATGCTCTCGGTACGACTGCCTGCCAGGTAGGTATGCTCTCGGTACGACTGCCTGCCAGGTAGGTATGCTCTCGGTACGACTGCCTGCCAGGTAGGTATGCTCTCGGTACGACTGCCTGCCAGGTAGGTATGCTCTCGGTACGACTGCCTGCCAGGTAGGTATGCTCTCGGTACGACTGCCTGCCAGGTAGGTATGCTCTCGGTACGACTGCCTGCCAGGTAGGTATGCTCTCGGTACGACTGCCTGCCAGGTAGGTATGCTCTCGGTACGACTGCCTGCCAGGTAGGTGGCATGGGTGCATCACCAAATAGAATGACTGTATCGCCCGAGACTCAGGTTGCCGATTTTTACTCAGATCAGATGTTCACGGCGGCTTGGTTCATGAGAATTCTCAATAACCAACTTGCCGATTTACTCAGATAAGATGTTTATGAGCTCGTTTTGAGGTTCATCGTGCTTCCGCATGACACCCATGCACCTGCTGCCCCCTGTTTTCCCACAGAATCCCCATGTTTGTGGTGTGCTGTAAAGGCCTGCCCCGCACATCAGACCACTTCACTCTCCTGTACGGCTACGGAGGCTTCAACATCTGCATCAAGCCGTCCTTCAGCGTATCTCCCATGCTTCTGCTGTTGCCCCACTTTCCCCCAGGATCCCCATGTTTGTGGTGTGTCGTAAAGACCTCCCCCACACATCAGACCACTTCACTCTCCTGTACGGCTACGGAGGCTTCGACATCTGCATCAAGCCGTCCTTCAGTGTGGCCCGGGTGCTGCTGATGAGGCACCACGGAGCCGTGGTGGCAGTGGCGAATATCCGCGGAGGGGGGGAGTACGGGGAGAGGTGGAGGCGCGCTGGCCCACAAGCAGCAGTGCTTTGACGATTTCTATGTGAGTGGGACTTCATTGTGGGTGGGACCTTGGTGTGGGTGGGACCTTGGTGTGGGTGGGACCTTGGTGTGGGTGGGACCTTGGTGTGGGTGGGACCTTGGTGTGGGTGGGACCTTGGTGTGGGTGGGACCTTGGTGTGGGTGGGACCTTTGACGACTTCCATGTCAGTGAGTGGGTCTTCATTTCACGCTGCTTCATTCTCTGCTAAGGTGCGGTAAGCTCAAGGCATTTCAAATCCACCATTCCGCACCATGTTCCCTTTCGACCTCCTCTAACAATGTCAACAATATCAGTACTCCATCTTTTATCCTAGGTCCTCCAGAGCTGCATGTGATTTGTGCTACTGGTGGATCAGAACGAAATCAGCGCTTCAGTGCTCCATCTCGTCTATCAGATGTACCTGGTAGGCGAATCTATTTGTGTGATGCCTCCAAGCCATGTGTAGGAAGTAGTGTTTTGAGACGTCTAAAAACACTACTTCGTACAAAATCAGTGCTCCATCTCTTCTATCAGATGCACCTGACAGGCGACTCTATTTGTGTGGTGCCTCAAATTCGCCCCATTCCTTTTGCCCCCTTCATCAGAGCTGCGCGGAGCATCTGATACATGAGGGGTACACATCGCCGTCGAAGCTGGTGATAGAGGGTGGCAGCAACGGGGGGTTGCTCGTCAGTGCTGCTGTCAACCAGGTGGGTGTGCTTATAACGGGAGGGAGTGTATGTGTTTGAGAGTATGTGCATCTGTGGCAAGCATACCATGCGCCATACAAGGTGATGATGCAGAGCGGCAACACTCTGACGGGGTATACATCGCCGTTGAACCTGGTGATAGAGGGTGGCAGAAATTCGACTCAGCAAATACCTCCCAAGCTCCCAACTCCCAAGCTTTATGATAAGGATAAGCGAGGGGGGCTGGTGAAGCTGGTGATAGAGGGTGGCAGCAACGGGGGGTTGCTCGTCAGTGCCGCCGTCAACCAGGTGGGCATGCTTGTGCCCAACCAGGTACGCATGCTTGTGCCCAACCAGGTACGCATGCTTGTGCCCAACCAGGTACGCATGCTTGTGCCCAACCAGGTACGCATGCTTGTGCCCAACCAGGTACGCATGCTTGTGCCCAACCAGGTACGCATGCTTGTGCCCAGCGGGGTAGGCGGTTCTTTACAAGTCTCGAATGCTGCCTGCATAACCAGGTGGGCGCTTTGCAGGCAGTTTTCCAGAAGTCTTAGCTGTGTGTGGGTGGGTTGGTATGTGTGGGTGGGTTGGTATGTGTGGGTGTGTTGGTATGTGTGGGTGTGTTGGTATGTGTGGGTGTGTTGGTATGTGTGGTGTGGGTATGTTGGTATGTGTAGGTGGGTTGGTATGTGTCGGTACGTTGGTGTGTGTGGGTGTGTGGATGTGTTGGTGTGTGTGGGTGTGTTGGTGTGTGTGGGTGTGTTGGTATGTGTGGGCGTGTTGGTGTGTGTGGGTGTGTTGGTATGTGTGTTGTGGGTATGGTGGTATGTGTAGGTGGGTTGGTATGTGTCGGTACGTTGGTGTGTGTGGGTGTGTGGGTGTGTGTGGGTGTGTTGGTATGTGTGGCTGTGTTGGTATGTGTGGCTGTGTTGGTATGTGTGGGTGTGTTGGCTTTTGAGACGTCTCAAAAGTCGTCTCAAGAGACGTCTCAAAAGTTGGTGTGTGCGGCTGTGTTGGTGTGTGTGTGTGTGCGTGATGGTATGAGGCTGCACCCATGCAACGTGATGGTATGAGGCTGCACCCATGCATGCGTCGCTCACAAGTTGGAAACAGGGGCAGCTGATGCCATCCTCCCTTCTCTCTTCCCCCTTCCCCTTGTCCTCTTCTCCCTTCCCCTTGTCCTCTTCCCCCTTCCCCTTGTCCTCTCCTCCCTTCCCCTTGTCCTCTTCTCCCTTCCCCTTGTCCTCTTCTCCCTTCCCCTTGTCCTCTTCTCCCTTCCCCTTGTCCTCTTCTCCCTTCACCCATCTAACTTTTCCAATTTCCCTCTCCTACTGCCTACTCCCTACTCCCTTCTCCCTTCTCCATTCTCCTTTCCCCCTTCTCCCTTCTCCATTCTCCCTTCTCCATTCTCCCTTCTCCTGTGTTCCACCCATCAGCGCCCAGACCTGTTCGCATATGCATTGGCACACGTGGGGCTGACAGACATGCTGCGAATCCACCACTTCACCATCCGGCAGGCATGGACCTCCCCGTATGGTTGCTCCAGCAGCACCCTTCATGTCTTCTCACGCCTCCCCCATTCTCCCTGTTCTCAGCGTCCAGACCTGTTCGCATGTGCCTTGGCACACGTGGGGCTCACAGACATGCTGCGATTCCACCAGTTCACCATCGGCCATGCGTGGACCTCTGAGTATGGCTGCTCCAGTGACCCGCACCAGCTCAAATCGCTTCTCAGGTACGCCTTTGGCGTCGCATAGCAGTGCATCGTATTCCACTCGTGCCTCTGTCACCAAGTTCCCTTCATGAGTTCACCATCGGCCATGCGTGGACCTCTGAGTATGGCTGCTCCAGTGACCCGCACCAGCTCAAATGGCTTCTCAGGTACGCCTTTGGCGTCGCATAGCAGTGCATCGTATTCCACTCGTGCCTCTGTCACCAAGTTCCCTTCATGAGTTCACCATCGGCCATGCATGGACCTCCAAGGGTGGCTGCTCCAGCCACGTGAAAGAAGATTGTTTTTGAGACATATCAAAAACAATCTCCCTGCACGAGTTCACCGTCGGTCGTGCGTGGACCTCCGATTATGGTTGCTCCAGTGACCCGCACCAACTCAAATGGCTTCTCAGGCATGCCACAGCACGTAGAGCTAACAGTCGCTGCCCATCAGGTGCTGCCACGTAACGCCATGGCATCTATTTGAGGCCCCGTCTGCTCCATTGACCCACACCAGCTCAAATCGCTCCTCAGGCATGCCCCGTGAAGCTAACAGTGCTTCCTTTCAGGATGGCAACGCAGCCAGCATGCGTTTTGGCAATAATGCAAGACAGGCCTTGCCGTACCACTGCCGTATGTTTCAAAGTCTCATCTCATACCACCAATATTGGAAGGAATATTACTGTTACTTTCAGAATTTGTCAGAAGGCCTTGTTGTGTGTTTAGGAGTCTCGTACGATCAAGATGAAAAGGGCTTCTGGAATTGCCAACCAGAGCTCTCAGAATCTGCCGTGAGTTTACTTTTGAGGCGCCTTAAAAGCAGAGCTCTCAGATTCTGCCGCGAGTTTAGATTTCTCGAAGTGCCAAAATGGCGAGGCTAGAAGCATGCCGTGCGATGTGTTCCTTTTCCCTCTTCTCCTTCTCTTCACTGCATCTGATGTATTTCCTACTTGCTTCCTACCCCTCTAACAGTTACTCTCCACTGCACAATGTGAGGTGAGCTCTGATTTGAGGCATCTTTTCTTCCCATCTCTCCTATCCCACCCTCCCCTGCTTTGCAGCTACTCCCCTCTGCACAATGTGAGGCGGCCCTGGGAAGCTGCCAGCCCCACCAACAGCAACAACATCACATGCACGCATTCAGATTCCGCTGATGTGCCAGCAAAAGCTGACGTGGCAGCAGAAGCTGACGTGGCAGCAGTGAAGCGGCAGTGGGGAGAGCGCAGGCGGCAGTACCCGGCGGTGATGCTGCTGACGGGCGACCATGACGACCGCGTGCCGCCCTCCCACTCCCTCAAATTTGCTGCTCAGCTGCAGCATGTGTTGGTGCACAGGTGGATGGTGGGATGGGTGGGTGGGTTTTGGCCCGAAAGTGGGATGAGAATTGTGATGCAGTGGTGGGTGGGTCCCTCCCGCTCCCTCAAGTTCGCCGCTCAGCTGCAGCATGTGTTGGTGCAAAGGTGGGTGGCAGCATGTGTTGGTGCACAGGTGGGTGGCAGCATGTGTTGGTGCACAGGTGGGTGGCAGCATGTGTTGGTGCACAGGTGGTTGGTGTGGTGGGTGGGTGGGTGGGTGGGTAGGCGGGCACAAGTGTATAGGTGGGAGAAGAATTGTGATGCACAGTCGTGCTGGTGCACAGCACAGGTGGGTGGCTTGCAGCATGTGCTGATGCATGGGTGAACACGCTCGCGCCGCAGCTACGCCTGGCTCTCCCCTTGCCTCTCCCTTGAGTTCGAGATTCACCTCCAATACACCTTCCATCTCCTGTGTGCACCGCACCTCCTTGCTCCTCGAACCCTGCAGCACAAATGGTGAAGGAAATCAGATCAGCCCGATTGTGTTGAGAGTAGATGTGAAGGCAGGCCATGGATCGGGTGCTTCGACACAGAAGATTATTGAGCGTAACGCGGATGCGTACTCTTTTGCGGCCATTGTTACTAACACTTTGTGGGTTGACTAACTGGTTGGTTGGACATTACATTAGTTTGATTATAATTTAAACTGTTACGACTAATGTAAACCGTAACATGCTCTTCTCAGGTAGGAGCACTGTTCCCGCCACCACAGCCCTCGTTCCCAAACCACCCGCCTTGGCTGGTAACCCGCGATCCAGCTCTAGGCCTCAAGACAATTCCCGAAGTCAGTGCTAAGCCCGTAGGGCACCCTTTCACGAGCATGTTACCGTCAGCGAATGCTTTTGATATAAACGATTCGCTCATGCCTTCGCCCAATGGATTGTTTGCTTCAATAGTGCAATTTTAGCAATTTTCGCTCGCCCACTTAATTGCACTCGTAACAGTATGGTTTATGGGATCACTGATCACTTGGTAAGCTCTCATAAACTATGAAAAAAAGCCTTTTCAAGGCTGGATGTCAGAGTACCGTATGTGGATATGTTCACCGATAACCTATATACGATCAAATTCCTGTTCGTCGTACAGCCCATCCCGTACAACGCTGATTGCGTTCTTCAAGATCAGCCGCCAGAGCCGCGACAGCCACCTGTTCCATAGACTACCCGAGTTCAGCGAATGACGGTACGCCACGCGATTAGCAACAGTGCACTGATTGGGCACGCGCCAGCTCCCCAAAGGAGAAAACACACTTCTCGAACCGCGGCAATCTCTATGTTCTGTACGTCATTCGGAACGACGAGATACACACGATGCCCGTTTGACTAACCCAAGGTTGCCTTGCTAAGAGGGCTCTTAAGTGATTATTGCATTTCGCTAAGCTTTCGTCAATTCGCACTTAGCAAAAAGGGCTTTTAAAAGATTTTGTAACTCGCTGTTGACCGTTTGACAGGGGTCTCTTCTGTCAAACTTCGGTTTTTGTGGTTCGTATTGCTCGAGGTGCTTATAAATGGGGTGCAACTGCCTAGTACCCTAATGCACGGGTGCAGAGTTTCCATCGCGGGCAGAGCAAATTCGCGTGCAGGGGTTGGGCATCTTGTGTAAGTGGGACGCGGCACCAGGGGAACAGAACTGAGCTGATGTTCGTCCCGGCGGACACTGTGCGACTCAACGAGGAGGATTCGGGAAAGGGGAAAGGGGGAAGGCGCGAAGAGGACACAGCGACTTACGGGCGGGCGACGACGACGACTCGTCCGATGGACGAGACGAGACAGTTGGGATTTTCTTAACGAAATAGAGCTCGAATACTACACAGTACAGTGCAGTACTTATAATCTGTCACCGCACCACCACACGCAACGCCATTCTTGCTACGTTACAGTACCCTAAAACCGTCGCTGTTCCTACTGTACTGTACACTGCCCTCGATTCTCACCGGAGGGTCGTCGAGCGCACGGTTTGTCTCGGCCTCTCTTCCGCCTGTCTATCCAGTTATCCGCACGACACTTCTACGATCAGACACGACGTTATAAGGGCTGCGGTGACAGCACGATGAGGGTCGTGACATGGCACAATGAATGCCGATACGACGAGCGTGGAGTGGAGAGGGAAGCGGAGACGAGATAAGGGGATGAGATGGGATGGGCTGGCGGGGCACAAACGAACACACTCATCCCTACAAGAAGGACTCTAAAGAGAGTCCAGGAGAGACGAGAGTTCGAATAGAGCTACGAACGAATACACTCTCGTCCTCGCCAATCTCGAGAGCCAGGAGCCGGAGAGTCACGAGCTCTAGTATTCGCCAGGGATAGTCCCGAGACCGTCACTGACGTCGCCGCTCTCGACTCCATCACCCATCACACCATCACCCTCTCCCGTCGCCCTCGTTCCTCGCCACCGTCGCAACCACCGTCGCCACCGTCGTCACCGTCGCACACCGTCGCCAGCATGGGGTCGCACACGCTCAACGCGCCGGTGCGCGTCTTCTCGTGGACCTCCCGTGTTTTCGAGCTCGTCTTCCTCGCTCTCCTCATCACCTTCTGCGTCTACCTCTCCAAGGACAAAACAGACCCCTTGCTCGCCGTGTATGGCGGAATGTCTGGTTGCTACAACTGCGACAACGGGTGGAACTGGCACGTGCTGCTCATGGGCATCGCATTCGGCATCGCCATGACCGAATCCGTTCTCGCCTTCTGCTCTGGCTCTCTCAGGTATTTTACCCTCACCGTTCCACCTCTTTTCAAGCAGAGCCACTCCCCGCCAGTTCCTTTTGTTCCTCATCAGGACTGCTGCGCGGGAGACTTGCTCGTTGACGGCCCAACAGTCTCTAAGTGGCTCCTGACCTGATGACTTTTGAGGCGTCTCAAAACCCGTGTCACTGCATCGCGAAAATGGCAAGCTCGGAAAGCAACTCGAAATACACTCTTCTAAAACTTTCCTGATAATTTTTGCCCGGCACTTTTGAGTCAAGGTTTTAGAACTGCATGGCCACAGTCACTTACAAAGTTGCTTCGCGTTCACCTTCCCGATGCTTTCTGTACATATGCGTGCATCAAATTAGACACTACACCCGCATCCGTGCAGTTGCTCAACAATCATGGGCTGCGCCACACAAAAGTTTACCCAACCATACCATGCCAACCAACTACAAAGTGACGAGTAAGCAACCCCATCTGCCACACCGTACGCGCCCACCCACGTGGCATCCAGTATCAACCCGCATGTCCACGTAAGCGTTTAGGGTTTATAACGTACCCGCACCCCAACCGTTGGATGCACATTCGGGTCACGCAATCGCGACGGTTCACGTGTCTCCTGTACATAAACTCGCGAGCAGTGTTACGACATCGCGAACACCAACTCGTACATGCCAGCGCACAGACAGCGCCAGTATCTTCACCGTCCATCTGATCGATGCTCACCCTCTACATACGTGATAGTTGGTGCCAACCCACAGGTGCGCTAACCGCAAATCACTCGTTCAATACCCACTACCATGCTACCACGTCGCATCGCTCAACTTGCGCATCGTGCGTCCGCAGCCTACACTACATTGCATAATCACCGTACACCTGTCGCACCGCCACCGTTTCGTACACTTCGCCATTCTACTCGCCACCCAGTAGTTTTCCACACGCTACTAGGTGACGACGCCATCTGCGTCGTCCATCAGTGGACATCGTCTCTACCACCAAGCTGCCGCGTCACGCACACTTATTCGATCTACCCCGTACACTTGCCGGCCGATCCCGTTCTCGCACATCTAGTAACCAGTTACCATCCCATCGTTGCACTCGTTCGCGTCATCTGCACGACACAATCACGACCGTACAGCTGTCTCGCCCTCCGGGCATATCACACCGCGTTTCCAACCGTCAACCTCATCTTCGCGTCCGTACTCGATGGTGACACGCGTAGTCCACCGTGTACGCCACTAATGTGCAACCTCATCATCCATGTTGAATATCCAACCAGATATCAACGCGTGCGCACCGCGAAGACTCTTACGTCCACACATTTACGTGACATATGGCACACTCCGTGAAACGCGCCGCAACATGCGGCGCGTTCCACGCCATCCCGCACACCTGGTGGACGGCCTGGCTGATGCATTCCGCATCCTAGTGGTGTAGGTGTTGTGCTATCATCTGCATCAATACCCCAATAAAGTCTCCTCACATTAACGTTGGAACGCACACACAAACATACTACGCAACCATGCATACAACTAACCCCCGTAACTTCCATTAACACACATGCAAAAACCCGTGCCCACTAAACTGCTACTCAAGACCCACAACCAGAAGAGATAATGATGCCTGAGACACCTCTCCACCACCTGTCCCCTCAACGGTCCGCAACACGATCCATGACGCCCCCCACGCCAGTTGGCCTACTCAGCACCAACTGACGCCGAAAGGTCGTCATCCCCCACGAGGTCTTCGGACTGAGCTGCGGCGGTGGGCTTCATGTGCTCCAGGGCGCACGCAGAGATGCGCAGTCCATGGCGGCCCCAGGTCCACACCTTGCGCTCCGGGTTGCAGATCCGGATCGCCCTCTCCACGACCTCCTTCACCAGGACCTTGAGGCCGTCCACAACGTGGGCGTTTCCCCCGGCCGAGTTGGAAAGCCGGCCTTTCCTCTCCTCCCAGTAGAGGACGCAGTTGGAGACCTGTGGAAACACCCAGCTTATCACTCAAATGGTACGACACTACAACGCAAAAACCGTGCACACATTGAGCGCACAAACTCACCACATGCTCCAACCAGGCCAGGTGGTACACCTTCAGAGTCATCACCAGCCCGGCCTTCTTAGGCCTGAATGCAGCCTTCGCGCATGTCGCGAACGCCCGAGAGGCAAACGGCATGCCGTCCCGATCTGTCGCCCAGCTCGTGAGCACCAGGGTTTCTGCACACCACATGCGCACAGTAAGTGTCAATGGCCGCCATACACTCATGGTCAGCATACCAACACGTAGGCGACCCCACCTGCTGTCTTCATGGCACTCACCAGGGCGGTCAGCGCCAAGCGCAATGCGCTCCCGGATCTTCTCGATACTGCGCTCCTTCTCTGGTGCCCACGGGCTGGATGCGTCCCTGTCGTCGCGGAACAAGCCGAGCTTGGGAAGTGCAATGTCTCGCACGCGGGCGGCGGCCCGCGTCTTCCACTCAGAGAGCGTCTTGTTGAGGTCCGCGCGTTGCGACTTGTCAGCCGCCAACGCCAAGCAAGCGAAGCTATGCAGCAGGCGGTCCAGCACCGCACACACTCCATGAGTCTTATCGTCGCTGCTCGGGTAGAAGGTCATTGTCGACGTCGGCCTGTTGAGAAACATGTGCACCCTGGCGAGCTCACAAACCCTCTGCGCACGTAGGGTGTACACGATGGACAAAGTAAGCGCCATCCGATGAGCGTCAACTGCACATCAGTGCAGTCCAAATCGAAGACGGTTCAATAGACCCCTCCGAAAACATGCCCGCTCACCTTCCACGCCTTGTCCGTCGGCAAATGCTCCAGCGCGCGTTGCAGAATAGGGGACTTTGCGGTACGCATATGACGGCCACCAGAACCATGCGTGTCGTCCTCGTCGTCCTCGCCCTCGTCGTCGGACCCTCCACTCCACGTCTCGCCACGCTGACGCTTCAGGTTCATACACCCCTGTCCCGGGTCTCTCTGCTTCTGTGCCTTACGCTTACGAGAGCCACCGGAAGGCCGAGACATCGCATTCAAGAACAGCGCCTCCAACCGCGCGTTCTCCTTGACGCTCTTGTCCTGAGCCTGTATAAGTTGCTCGAGGACCCTGCTCGCGATGCGCACGTCATCGCCGTTTGGGTTCAACGTGTTCCCGCATGTGCGGTCCACAGGTCCGTCCGCATGTCCTCGGCCGTCACCTCGAGGCACATCCGTGTCCCGCGTGCCTTGGCTTGCGCGCGTGCCCGCATTGGGCGCAGCGGTTCCCAAACACCCATCGTCGTTCGTCTTCGCCTCCGGAGCAGGGTCGGCGGATTCTTCGTGTGAGGCGCTAGCCGATGTGTCTGAGCCTTCCTCGTCATCCTCCTCGCTGCGCTCGGACGAATCTGCACTTTCGGCGCCCGTCCCTTCATCTGTGGGTGAGCGAAACACCACAAAGGCACAATGAGCCCAGGTTAGCAAATGGCATGTCACTGGGGTCCGAGTTTGTTCAGAGCGGACAAAAAACAGTAATAACGTCATGACACATCCACACATGTGTGAAATTGAAACGAGAATGATTGCATTGAGCAGCATGAGGAGTACAAGTACCAAACACTAAAGTGTTGTACCCCATATAAGCTACCCCACTACAGCCTACACAGACTATAGTATATGAGTTTGACACACCCCCATAGGCAAAGTGGGGGAGAGCAAGGGGTCACAAGACCAGTCAAGCAAAGCAAGGCAAAACAAGCTCAGGGTGGATCACAACGTCACCACACATTCTGAGCACAAGTTCAAGGCCACAAGGCCAGTTCACCTGCAAGATCACATATATATAAGGCTAAACAAGCAAGAACAGGTAAATATATATGTAACAGTACAAGCAAGGTCAACAAATGACCAAGTGAGGCAAGGTAGGCACAAGACCTAACTGAGTACCGAAGCGCTGATGATCACAAGGCGCGAGTGCCTTTGTGAAGATATCAGCAGTGTTGGCCTCAGAGGCCACGTAAGCAAGGCGCAGCTGACCACGCTGCTGCAGCCCACGAGCAAGGAAGTAGCGAAGAGCGATGTGCTTCGCTATGTGCTCCAGTCTCTGCTCCCGACACAAGGCCAGCATGGCCTTGTTGTCTACGTACAGCACTGGAGGAGAACAAGGCGGCTCTCCGAGGTCAGTCAGCAGGTAGGTGAGCCAGCAAAGCTCCTGTGCAGCCATGGCCCCAGTGTAGATCTCAGCCTCACAACTGGAGCCGAGAACAGAAGACGAGCGGGTAGACCGCCACGAAACAGAGCCGGAACCAAGGCTGAAGGTGTAACCCTGTGACGACCGCTGCGTAGCCTGGTCGTCAGCCCAAGAAGCGTCTGCGTGACCTGTGAGGACCACTCGACTACGCCCTCCAAGCACAAGCCCCATGCCCGACGTACTGCACAAGTAGCGCAACACCCTCTTCGCTGCAGCCATGTGCTACGGTTTGTGTCTCCCAGGAGCGACATAGCGTGCCAGAATGCTAAGAGGGTATGCAAGGTCAGGACGTGTGCAGGTCATCAGGTACATGAGGCAGCCAACAAGCTCTGGGTACGGGCCACTCGACTCTACGGACTCATCCGAAGGCAGAGCTGAGAGCGAGTGGCGAGTAGACAGAGGAGTGGCCTGAGGCGAGGAGTACGTGAAGCCGAAGCACTGAAGGACCTGCTACACCATGTGTGACTGAGTCAGGGTAATGGTGCGCTGTGCTCTGTCCCGGGTGATCTGCAAGCCAAGGTAGCTGCGCAGTTCACCCACGTCTGTGCACGTGTGTCTCTTCTGCAGCTCGGACTTCACGTGGGTGAGTCCAACAATGTCAGCTGTGGTAAAGACCAAGTCGTCGACGTACACGAGGATGTAGAACGGCGGCAAAGAAGTGTCGTTGCGCAGAAACAGCGACGGGTCCGCAGTAGAGGGAGCAAACCCAAGAGCCGCAAGCGTAGTCCTCAGTGTGTCGTGCCACTCACGAGGTGCCTGGCGGAGACCGTAGACTGGCCGCCGGAGGCTCCACTGGGTGCCAGGAGGGAAAGTCCCAGTGAAGCCAAGTGGGCGGCGCAGCCAGATCTCCTCCTGCAGGCTGCCCTGCAAGAAAGCACTGCTGAAGTCAAGAGAGTGCAACTCGTAGTCACGGTGAGCGGCTATGTGCAGCAGTACCCGAGGAGTGGTCATCTTCGGGGTGGGAGAGAAGGTCTGAAAGTAGTCGACTCCCTGCCGCTGTCTGAAGCCACGAGCCACGTAACGCGCCTTGAAGACAGGCGGAGAACCCGGCGGCCGCTTCACCCTGAAGATCCACATGCTACTGACGATGTTCGCCCCAGGCGGGGGAACCTCGTCAACGTAGGTGCCTGTGGACTTCCAGGAAGCCATCTCTGCGTCCATGGCTGCCTGCCACTGAGAGGAGTAGGGACCCTCTATCGCCTCCGCGTAAGAGCGCGGAGTCGGGATGTCAAGTGCATCCGGGTCTCCCTCAGGGGTAAGCAGCACGGACACGAGATGAGGTGAAGCAGCAGCTAAACACTGGAACTCCTCCTGCCTATCCTCAAGGACGTTCGTGCCAAGGGCACACTCACCCCCGACGGACGGAGGACAGACAGACTCAGACTCAGAAACAAGACTAGCAGCGTAGTCTAGACGACAACGAGCAGCAAAGTCGACGAGCTCAGTGACCAAGGCAGACGCAGCAGCGGACTCAAAGGAAGGGTCAGTGACAACAGTAGCAAGGAGACGCGTGACAGTAGGACTGGCAGCACGAAGAGAGTCCGACTCCGGGTTAGCAAGAGCAAGAAGAGAGGACTCAGGAGGAGAAGGCAAAGGGGCACGCAGTGGAGCAGTGGACGGATGGAGAGACATCCGGTGCGTGCCTGGTGTTATAGTCAAGAGTCCACTTAGAGGTCGCGGATGCCCATGAAACCGCCTAAGCAGAATCTGACGTCTTCAAACCGCCTCTGTTCAAAACGCCGTCACGATCAGCTCCAATAACACATGAGAGTGAAACTTGGACAGCAGTTAGCCTTACGTGTTTGCTTTCCAACGGTGTATTGCTTGCTTTCACCAGAGGTGTATGCGCTACGGTGTGAACAAAAACGTAAGCTTGGCTGAAAAACGTGTATTCTCATTGATGCAAGGAAGAGGTGAGGTACAACATTGCCTAGGGGACTCTTAAGGGGTTGGGATCATCCTGGGAACTCAGAGAAGGTTGAGTCCTAGGGGAGAAAGGCTAGAGAAGGATGGGAAACGTCCTAGCTAGGTCAGCAAAGCCAACCACACATGGATGTTCAGAGCTGTACTCAAGGCAACCAATTGTGAGTTAAGCCAACCATGAGTCAGCTTGTCTTCCCACTTGCACCCTCTTGCAAGCTGGTTCCAGGAAGACCACACTTCTCAAAAGGAGAGCTGTAGAGTCCCACTTGACCACCTGTACTTCTTGTCTCATTCTCTGTCCCTGCACCATTGGCATGACAACAATGAAAGGGTGGCAAGGGAAATGCTGCCAACAGTGCACCATGACTACGGAACAGTGAATTTCGGCAGCTGTCACGCAATGCTCAGATGTTGGATCGTTGTGAAACTTTGTGACCATCTGCACAGCGGGGCAAAGGACTTCCAGACCGAATTTCGGACCAATCAGAGCTCGGTAGACGAGTCAGCAGCCGAAATGGTGAACTCGGGTGTCACCAAAAAGGAGTAACACACACTTCCGGGATGCCATAAGTCTTGAAACATAAAATGTTGTCATGCCTTGGTAACTGCTTCAAAATCTCTGAAACTTTGAGGGTTTAAAGAACACATGTTGAACAACCTCCCCACAAAATTCCAGAAGCTGAGCAGGCTTGTAGGCCGAATGTTAGTGTGATGACCGTGCCACTGTAATGTGTTGGCACAACAAACTCCCCCTCATCGTGCTCTCATTCATCCCTTAGCTGCTCCCTGAAGCTGCCTCCCTTAGTTGAAGGACATGCCACACAAGGTGGCACAGGTCCAATGCTGATGCTCTGCAAGCCGCTTGGTCAAGAAATCTGCAGGTTGCTTGGTAGTGTTGATGTAGTGCAAGGAGACCGTGCTCTTCTTCACCTCCTTCCTCACCCAATGCCATTTGATATGCATGTGCTTGTTCAGCCCATGGAGCACAGCATTGCGAGCCATTGCAATTGCTCCTTGGCTGTCACAAAACACAGGTGTAGGACCCTCTTGCTCCTGCCCCAACTCCTCAAGCAACCTCCTCATCCAAACCACCTCCTTCACCCCATGAAACAACGCCATGTACTCGCTCTCCGTTGATGAGTGAGCTATCTCCCCTTGCTTCTTAGACTTCCAGCTCACTAGACTCCCTCCAACACAGCATACATAGCCACCATGGGATGTTGCATCACTAATGTCACTTGCCCAGGTAGCATCGGTGAAGCACGATAGGTACAAGTGTCCACGCCTTGCAGGTGCACCGGTCTTCGTGCTCACCTCCTCCACTCCCTTTTGCTTCAGCTGCCCATGCACTGAATATTGGAGCCCCACCCTTGAGGTTGCCATGCAGTACTTCACCAGCCTCTCTGCTGCATCAAGGTGCTCTTGAAGGGGCCTAGACACCACACGAGCCAGCTGCGAAACCGCGAATGAAATATCGGGGCGAGTGTTGACCGAAGCATACATCAAGCTCCCCACCATTGACTGGAACCGACGCTGCAACTCGGGCTCCAACACCTCACCCT